TGACCAATTCGACTCTTCTCTTGGTGTCTCCCCCTGAAGAGAAGAATTGGATGATGCCGAGGAGTAGAAATGGTCGAATTCCAAGAATGTAACATCCATTGTTACATACATGCGTCGAGTAATAGGGTCATAGCAACGATACCCTTTCTGGTGTACACCATACCCCAAAAAAAGGCAGCGAATGGCACAAGGATCAAGCTTTGTACGCTGGTTTTTATGTAGGTGAACAAACGCAACACAACCAAAGACTCGAGGTGGCAACATTTGTATTGTAGGCAATGGTACAAGTGTCGACAAGGTCTGCAGTGGAGTTTTAAAGTCAAGAACTTTTGATGGCATCCGATTAATGAGATATACTGCTGTAGTAACAACATCAGTCCAATGGTGGTGAGGCACATGTGCTCCATGTAAGAGAGCACGAGCAGTTTCAAGGATGTGACGATTTTTTCGTTCTGCAATACCATTTTGTTGTGGAGTTTGTGGACACGTGGTTTCATGAATAAGACCGTGTTTTTTGAAATACCCATGGAATTGGTGGTTTACAAACTCCCCACCATTATCAGAGCGAAGGATCCGAATCTTCTTTGAATATTGAGTTTGAATCATTTTATGGAATTGTTGAAATATGTGCAACACTTCATTTTTTTTGTTTCAACAAATAAATCCAAGTCATTCGAGTGCAATCATCAAAAAATATCACAAACCACCGATAACCAGAGAGAGAAGATTTTGGGGATGGACCCCATACATCAGAATGGATTAAAGCAAAAGGAACATTACTTTTATTCATACTTAATGGAAAAGTGACTCGATGACTCTTGGCTAAAATACAAGCTTCACATTTGAAGTTCAACAAAGATGTATCTGAAAATAAATTTGGGAACACATGCTTCAGATATCCAAACGAAGGATGGCCTAATCGATGATGCCAAAGTAAAACTTGCTCCATTTTATTGTTTCTTGGATAATGCATGTGATGCGCTCGGCCTACACTAAAATCCTCCATATAGTAGAGTCCCCCTCTCTTAGTACCACGCCCAATGATCTCCTTCGTGAGAATATCCTGAAGGAAACAGAAAGATGGATAAATTAGCACAATACAATTCAAGTCTTTTGTAACTTGACTCACAGACAGCAGCTTATGAGATAGAGAGGGAACAAGTAGTGTATTTGAAAGCAAGAGGGCTGGTGATAACATCACAGTTCCAGCCCCTGTTACCGGGGATAAACCACCGTTTGCTTTGGCAATACTTGAGCGCCGAGGGGCTGAACGTTCATAAAAATCAGCAGCATCAAACGTCATATGATCGGTCGCTCCGGAATCAAGTATCCATGCATTAGAGGCATCATCATGATTAGAGCAAATTAGAACATTACCTTCACTGGTGTGGGAACTTGATTTCGGGATGAGGGAAAGATGTGGTTCGACAGTAGCTACTGCAGCTTTTCCCGAGTTGCTATCAGTTGTATCGCGATGCTTTCGAGTCTGAAATTCTGTCCACCAATCTGGATAGCCATGAAGTTTAAAACAGGTATCTCGAGTATGTTTGTTACCTCCACAATGAGAACACTTAGTGCCATCAGATGATTCTTTATGTTTGGTTTGAGAGAATATCTTGCTGCTCTGTAATTTGAGACCCTTAGATGCGAGAACTGCTCCAGATAATTCATTGGAGTTGTCTGTCATCACTGCCTGACGAAGTGCTTCCCTCCTAACATGTGCATATGCTTGCTCCATGGTTGGAAATGGTTTCATTTGTAAAACATCGCTTCTGATATTATCTAAGCGGTCATCAAGTCCATCCAAAAAACCATACACTCGTTCTTCTTGGACAAGTGTATTATAGTGTTGGATATCAACTCGACATGTCATCGGATTTGGACGTCGGAAATCTATCTCACGCCAAAGTCCTTGGAGATCGTTATAATATTTTTCAAGAGAACCACCGGCTTGTTTAAGACGTGTCACCCGTCGCCTAAGGTCATACACCTGCGAGGTATCGCTACCATCAAAGTATGTGGTCGCAATTGCATCCCACACCAGTTTGGCAGTGGAGAATCGAATAAAGTTGCTGATTAGAGAAGAGTCCATTGAGTTGATTATCCATCCCTTAACAATCGCGTTGTCTGTCCGCCAACGTCGAAAGGTAGGATCTGTTTGAGGGGGTTGCGGAAGATCTCCATTGATATATCCCAGTTTGTCTTTGCCGGAGATATACATCTCGACCACCTGGGACCAAAGGGGATAGTTGCTGCCATCTAACTTGATGCCAATCGGTGCCACCGTATGGTCAGAACTAATCTGTGACGGGGCTGAAGCGCGATTCAAAACTTCCGTCATTTTCGTCGTCAACTCGGCAAGAATAAAAGTCGAGGTAGCATCATCGGAGATTGAATCCGAGTCGGCCATGGAAGACGGGTGGAAGGTGTTACCGTAGGTCAGGGTTAAGACCTGGCGGCTGATACCATGTTAAACTGATACGTAAATCTCATATTATTTTCTTTTTTGTATATCTTACAGGAGAGGAATAGGTTATACTTATATACATAGAAAATCCTATTTCTAATTATGACCAAATCAGAATAATTAACAAATAATAACTCTATTCCTATTATAATTCCTAAAACCATGCTGACAGCTAATGCCAACAATTATATCTCGTAAAGATTAATGAATGTATCATTGTGTTGTTCCTTAGGTGATCGAGTGAAGATCGGAATACTTGAGATGACAATGGTTGTGGGTCATTGTGAAATCATGTTAAGAAGATCGGGTAGGTCATATTTCTTAAGGGGTCAACGGTTGCTGATCATTGTGTTTGTTAGTCACCGACGGGTAGCCCGTGCAATTGTAATCAGTTTGGTTATAGTGGATTAAGTCCTTGTTGAAGGAAAAATCACCTGAGGAGGGTGGACAGGAGTAACCTACTTAATGGTGAACCTGGATAACTAGATGTGTCTCTTTATATTTATTGCATTCTATGTTCTTTCATAGTTAAATCAAATATTTTTCTAAAGAGGAGTATTTTCTTAAAACCCAATTCTAACCCCACCCTCATTTCTTGTGTTTTTCCTCTACCTTCAACAACATGGTAAATAATGATTGGTGAAAGGAAATTATTGAGTTCCTAAATTTTTTAAGTGACATGTTTATTGTTGGTCACGACACTAAAAAATTTAAAGCTTAAAGAAAGAGTTAAGCGAGGAGTTTGCAATAAAGGACCTGGGTCATGTATAATAAATCATTGGCATGAGAGTTTCTCGTAGCAGGAAGAAAGGTAAATTATGGTTGTCTCAATACACTTACATTGAGAAGATGTTAAGAGGTTTAACATGAGCAATTCAAAATTTGCAAGCACTCCACATGTTATTCATTTTAAATTGAATTCTGAACAATCTCCTATAAGTGAATAAGGCAATTAAGATATGAAGAATGTCCCTTATGCATCTGCAGCAGTTGGTAGTTTGATTATGCTATAGTATGCACAAGACTAGATATTGCTCTTGGTAAAGATAATCGGCAAGTAATGAAGTGTAATCTCAAATATCTTAGAAGTACTTCCACGGTGTGCTTAGGCTTTGGGATTGGTGATCATGTATTAGATGACTACATATATGCAGTTATAGTTGGTAATATTGATTCCAAAAAACTTAATTTTATATACAATATGACTTTTGCAAGGGAGCAGTGTCTTGGCAATAAAGGTTCCAAAAGTGTATTGTTTTATCTACGATAAGGATTTTCTAAATTGCAACAATTGAAGTGTCTAAAGAACTTTTGTGGATGAAGAAATTCCTACAAGAGTTGGGTGTTGAAAGAAAAAGTTTGTGTTGTTTTGTGACAGACATAGTGCAATTCATCTTAATAAGAATTTAATATTTCATTTCAGATCAAAACATACTACAGTTGATATCATTAGATACAAGATGCATTAGAGACGGAGTTGTTTTCACTTGAGAATATCTATATTGACTAGAATGGTTCAGATATGATGACAAATATGTTATCTGTGACAAAGATGATTAATTATAGAAAAAAGATGGACACGGTGGAGCAACTTCTTACCACTTAAAACGTGATGGGGATATTTATAGTGGGGACTCACTCTTAAAGTGATATCCACCTTTTATTTAGAAAAATAGAAGAAAAATTTAGGTGTATTGTTTTATTTGGCCAAATCCCTAAAACAACACGACGAAAAAACAATTAAACAAGAGTTTTAGAGAAAAAATAAAAATAGAGAGCAGAAAAAGGAATGAATGTTGTTGTGAGAGAAGAAGAAAAATTGACTATGAGATATAGATGCTTGTGTAGCAAATTTTATTAGTTTGAGTTAAAAATTCAATATGTTGTTTTTATTATTTTATTAAATTTACTTATATTTTTGTTGAATAATTTTACATTTTTTTAGAGTTATTTCAATATACTCACAATTTTTGTGGAGGTGTTGTTTAGAATGAGTGTATTTTTCATTATTATTTATAGTTGAAGATTGTTATTCTCTATTGTTATTAAAAAGATTTTATATATATTAATTATTTACATCCGTAATTTTTATTCTCTCACTTTATAAAAAAATTTCCATGTTAAAAGTTTGATGTGATCCTTATTATTTAAGTTTTGCTCATATTACATTACATTATGAAATTAATTTTATTGATCATCTATTTAAATTACACATGTTTAAGAAAATGTTCTGCAGAGATGAGTTATTTGATTATTTTTTAACATGTCTTTGTTATATGAGTTTATTTGAAAATAAATATAAATTTTAAATGAATTTTAATAAAGCTAGAAAAATAAAATTTAGTATTATCTTAGACTTGGGAAATACGCTTTGAAAGAAGAATATATAATTTCAAAAGACCAAATGATCAAAGGCGGCTTGAAGGAGAACCACAAATACAACATAAACTATTATAACTCTTATTTCTCTTAAATAAGACTAACAATGTTGTATTGAATATACATTTAAGCCATTCATTCTACTGTGATCTCAATGGAAGAGTCTCTTCCTCTCAGTGTCATCCATGTTAACAAATCTTTACTTTTCATCAACAGATTACAAATACTCTTCCATTCCATTGCTCTTTCTTTCTTATTCTATTATAGACTCACCTTCTTCTTTCAACACTCAAAAACAATACAAACTCCACTTTTGCCTTACTTTCTAGTCTTTTCATCTGAAATCATTCTCTCCTTTATTTGGTTTCTTGATCAAGCTTTTCGATGGAACCCGATTACAAGAACCGTCTTTCCAGAAAGACTACCGGAAAACAACATGCTTCCTAACATTGATGTCTTCGTATGTACTGCAGACCCAACTAAGGAGCCTACTTTAGATGTCATGAACACTGTTCTATCAGCTATGGCAATGGATTATCCACATGAGAAACTTCATGTCTATGTTTCTGATGATGCTGGTTCATCTATTACATTGAATGGTATGAAAGAGGCTTGGAAATTTGCAAAGTCGTGGATTCCTTTCTGCACAAGATATAGAATTTTGTGTAGGTGTCCCGAGGCATACTTTTCTGATCCGGAGAATGATAGTGAGGATTTTTCTGAGAATGTTGAGTTTGTTACAGATAAGAGAATGGTTAAGGAAAAATATGAGGCTTTCAAAGAAAGTATAATGAGATTGAAAGGTGATACTATTGGTATAAGTGGTCAAAATCATGCATCAATTGTAGAGGTAATACAAGAAAATTACAGTGATGAAATAGAGCAAGTGAAATTGCCATTACTTGTATATGTTTCCCGCGAGAAAAAGCCTAATCGTCCTCATAATTTCAAAGCCGGAGCCCTCAATGTCCTCGTATGTATCTCTATCTTTATCTCTATCTCTACTGAGATTTGTTGGGTTTAAGTCTGAGCCTTTTTGAAGATTTGAAATCAACTAACTGATTACTTGTAAAATAAATATATATTGTTGCAGTATCGCGTCTCTGGTGTGATTAGCAATTCTCCATATATTCTAGTGTTGGATTGTGACATGTTCTGCAGTGAGCCAAATTCAGCAAAACAGGCAATGTGTTTCCATCTTGATCCCAAGATATCGCCTTCACTAGCTTTTGTTCAATTCCCTCAGAAATTTCACAACATAAGCATCAATGACATATATGACAGTCAATACAGATCAGCATATAAAGTAATTAACACTTCAAATTTTCATATTATTTCATATAATCTATATATCTCTTCAAAATTATTATGTTTTTTTTCTTCATAAAATTCCAGGTCTTATGGCAAGGTATGGATGGACTTCAGGGACCCTTATTGTCTGGCACAGGATTCTATATGAAAAGGGAATCATTATATGGAAATTACAAAACTAAAGGTATAGAGTCTAATGGTTTACATGCTACCAACATCAGACACTTATGATTGAACGCGTGTCTGATGTGAATATGGTGTCTGATGTCTCATGTGTTTACATACTACGAAACGTACTACGAAACTACTAGTACTAGTACAATGCATGTACCAAATTCAGTCATATTCTATGTTTTGAATTTCAGACACTGATTTGGAACTCCAAGAATATTTTGGCAAATCCAATGATTTCATCAAATCCTTAAAGCAAAATAGCATTCCAAATTTAGTCACTGTTGGGAATGCATTGCCTATAGAAGAAACTTTGCTTTTGGCTTCTTGTGATTATGAAAATGGAACTAAATGGGGTAAAGAGGTATGCAGATTTATTTTCTATGATTAAAAAAATGTTTCACTAATCTATTTATTCAACAAACATAATGCATTTCAATTTTATTTGAAGGTTGGATTTTTGTATGGTACTGTATGTGAAGATGTTCACACTGGAATCATGCTAAATTGCAATGGTTGGAATTCAGTTTTATGTGATCCACCTAAGCCACAGTTCCTTGGAAATAGTACCACAAACTTGAATGATTTGCTAATTCAAGGCTTAAGATGGAGCTCTGGATTGCTTGAAAATGGTTTGGTCAATATTTGTCCCCTCATAAATTGTCCTTTAAGAAGAATGTCTCTACTTCATAGATTTTGTCTTGCAAACATTACATGGTTCCCTCTATATTGTTTACCTCTTTGGTGTTTTGCTCTTGTCCCTCAGATTTGTCTACTCTCCGGAACTCCTCTCTACCCTATGGTATCGTCATAAGCCCCTTATCGCGAGTTCAAAATAAGTTGATTCAAATAGTATTAACATGTTTCTTTTTTTACTATTTCAGGTGTCGGAACCATTTTTCTGTGTTTTTGCATTTATCTATGTATCGTCTCACGCCAAGTTTTTATTTGAAGTCGTCTCGACAGGAGGAACATTCGGAAAATTTATAATAGAGCAAAGGATGTGGATGATGAGAACAACCACATGCCATCTATATGGATTATTAGATTGTGTAATGAAGAAATTTGGTTTAAGAGAGGCTAGTTTCATGCCAACAAATAAAGTGAAAGATGAGGAACAAACTATGCTTTATCAAAGCGACAAATATGACTTTAGAACATCAAATATGTTTCTTGTACCAATGGTTTCACTCATGATTATCAACATATTTTGTTTCATAAGTGGCATCTATAGAGTGTTGTGTTTGGGAGAACTGGACAAGATGTTGGTACAACTTTTTCTTATGGGTTATATCATTTTTGTGAACTATCCACTCATTGAAGGGGTTGTGATAAGGAAAGATAAAGGAAGAATTTCTACTTCTGTGTTTGTGACATCTAATATATTGGCTACAATTATCACTTGTGCACTTTATCCTTTACTAAGGAAGGTATAATGGTCATATTTGTCACCTTGATAAAGAATAATGTGATATAGAGTTCAGAACTGTATTGTAAGTTATGAGCCTTATAATTTAAATAAAAATGAAATAGGCCCTCTTTTACAATTTTGATTCCCACTTATAATTATTCATTTATCCATCACTTTTTCAATTTACTTGATATGTAGTCCACCAATTAAGTTCATATTTAATATTTAATGAAACATCGAGTTACTTCTTTGGTTTTAATAATGTGTTTTTCAAGGTATACCACTTTTCTTAGAGCATCTTTAATAGTTATGATCAAAAGGGTAATGCTTTTTAAAAAAAAATAGATATCTTTTCCCATTACAACAATGAGATCAAATAGATATTTTTTTCCATTATGAAAAGGGTAATACTATTAAGTAATGAGACCAAATCAATGTTGACATGTATCTATCATATAAGAAAATTTTAAGCTGTTTAAAAGACAATTCTATCCTTATGTTCCATCAGTCCACCATGTGGATGCCTTGTTTGAGCTCATGCCATTCTTTTTGCTAATATAAGACGCTTTCTGCTTATTATAATATTAGGTTTTTGTTTTGCTATCTCTCTATTTTCTCTTTTTTCATCTCTTTTTCTGCAATAAACCCTAATTTTGTTATTTTGCACAAATGTTCATATATGTCTATAATCACAAATTTTCACCTCCTTTCTCTCTTCTGTTCCATCCGTTCATTATGCTTTTTCTTCAAACTGTTCTGACGATTTCTAAGTGATGGTTTTTACTTTCATACGAAGCCGATTACGATGGTATTTTTTCTTCGTTGTCAATCTTTGTTTTTACTCAAAAAATTCTTCTTCTGCATACCCATAAATTATTATTACAAATTCCTTTTTGATTTTAATAGGCGATGAAATCATACATCAATTTTAATGATTCTCAATGATGGGTCAACATTTAGATATATTTTTATGCATTCATGTAAAAAAGTTTTGTTTTTTTATGCACATTGTTCTTTGAATCTTGCTTTTTAACGTTTAGGGTATTTTGATGTTTAGGGTTCAGGGTCATGATATATATATATCATGTCTATCATGTCTAATGATGTCATCTATTTGTGTAAACAGGAACTTCAGGATCTCCTCATCAATATCTGTTAGTTCTCTTGTTTTAGGATTGGCTTAATTTTTGTAAAACAAAAAATAGCAGCAATGAAGAATAGGATAAGAAGAACAGGCACAACAAGAAGTCCCATTACAATGACAGAACATGTTATGTTGAACTTTTCCAACAACTGGAACAATATGTCGAAGAAGCTGTCATGACATTGCGCCTGCTGAGCTGGATTAATGAGATTCAGTTTGTTCTCAACATAGGCAGAATATTCAGGAGAATATTATGCATCATATATGGCACATATTTAAAGGTCTAGAAAATTCAATTAGAAATCAAGGAGAATGAAGACTTTATAAATAAGGAGATTATTTAGGAAAGTAAAGATTGAAGACCTTTCTTGGGGCAGAAATTCCTGCAGTTTGTTACAGCTGATTTGCTGTGATTGAAGGCCCAAAACCAGTTTAGTAACAAGTTATAAATAGAAGGGTTTGTAACCTAGAAAATACACGGATCAAGATGTATAAGTCTAGGGTTTTATCAATGTAAACCTCTCGGGTTGTGGGAAGGTTACCATGTTCACCTCGAAGCCTGTAGGTAAGAGGTGTATTGTTCTTGGAGGAAGCTTTGAAGCAACTTTAGGATGTGTTAGGAGAAAAGCTAACAAATAATGGAGTTTGGCTTGTAGACTTAGCTAGGTTGTCCTGGAAGTGTGTCTTCCAAACTGTCTATATGTGTGATTAGAATCTTGGCGAAGGGTCGTCGATGCAGTGACTGAGGTGTTGACTGTTAGACATCATTGTGATGATTGGAAGTGGGATGGAGATATTCCATATCTAAGGAGGACCTAGGTAGAATGACAATTGGATAGTGATTAAGCGTGTAGATCATAAACTGGTTGTTTACTGTAGGATCTGCAAATTGATACTGCTGATAGTGGATTTCATTCCTGGCTTGGTAGCCCCCAGAGCAGGTATTGTTGTACACCGAACTGGGTAAACAATTCTGGTGTGTTCTTTATCTTTTCAGTACTGTTTTATCTTGCATGTGTGTTATGTCAGATCAGATGTCTCGACGTCCTTATAGGACATCTGAGTCTGTTGTACCAGAATTTCAATTGGTATCAGAGTTGGGATCATGTTCTTCTCTTGGTGAGATCCTGGGAAGGTACTTTCTGGTCATGGGCAAGGAAGAAAGTATTTACTAAAAAGAGGTATGAACTTGGACAATTCATATTATTGTAAGGATGATCTCTCGGAAAGGATCATTGGTTATATGTGACAGGTATTGTTCCTGGCTGTTGTCATCAGGCTTGTAGTAGTGGGAAGCTGCTGTATGTAGGGTTTATTTTTTCAATCCTAGGTTGATGTGCTTGTACTTGGATAGTGGTGTAAGCATTGTGTCTGAATATTGTTGAGGAGTTCATTATATTCCGCTGCATGGTTTCTGATATAACCCTGAAAGTATGGGAAGGATGCTAGGGTTGTTACCCTCAACAGAATATATGCTAACATTTTCAACCATATTAAAAGTGTCAAAGATGCTTGATATTTTCCTCAAGTTAACTCATAAAGACATTTATCAATAAGGTTAATGAGAATCAGTTGATTGATGATGCTCATATACATCTGCATATTGACCTTGAAGACTGTCAAGGATGGTGTGTTCCAAGAAGAAGGAATTGATGTTCTATGGGATGTTAGAACATTATTTCAGCAGGTATGCAACTACCAGTTGAAGAACGGATGCTTTGGGTGTTGAACAAAAATGTTATGAATACTTTTTGTTTGGAACCTACTCCTGATCTGGAAGAGGAGGCATATGGTTTGTGCAGGTTGATTAGGACATGATCAATAGTTTATCTACTCCATGTGTCAGTTTATTCCTGACCAAGGATTATGGGAGTATATAGGTTGAGCTTCATGCTCTTGAGAAGAACTCATAAAGGAATCTCCACCAGACCCTTTATGTATATGAGAAGAGCTCGTATCTAGAAGATCCTTCTGATCAAAGGAACCAGATTCATGGAATCCTGTTTGTGGCCATAGAACAGATTAGGTTTGAAGAGGAGTATTATGATCCAACTACAGTGTTTGATGCTCTTGAATATTGTTTTGATTGCCCTTGAGGAAGAGAATTGGTGACTCTCTTTGTGTATCCTCAGAAGTTGTTGAAAAATATTCCCTTGTCAAGGGTTGATATGATGTCAGACAGAATGTCGTGATATCTTTGAAGATGTTAAAATTTTAAGGGCATTGTTTTTAAAGAATCAAGGGAAATAGATGCTTTTGAAAAGTCTGTACTTTTTACTGTCATGCCTAGAAGAATCTATTCCAGAGACCTAATAGAGGGAATTTCCTCTGTAGGTACAGACAATAGCATCCATCATCTCAAAGTCAGACATGAGGTCTAAAGAAAAGCTTATTGAGATGTGGATCGTGCAATCCCCTGCATATGTTGATAGTATGACCCTGAAGATTGATCAGTTGTTGTTGGTTTGTTTTCTTATGATAACCTCCACAAGAGTTGATTATAAGTTACTATGGAGGTTACCTCCAGAACCATAGTAAGAACAGATGATGTCGGGTCTAATATCGGGACGTCATCCCTAGGTGTGTGCTTCCTCTAAAAAGGAAGTTGTTGTGTAGATCATGAAGTGAGTATTGTTGTTCACCAGTGGAGTTCAAAGTTGGAATGTTTGATCATGATGGAGCTGAAGACCAGTCTCTGACCAAGTCTGGAATGTTGAAAGGATCCTCTTGTATTGAACAATGAAGAATAAGTATGTTAGTTCAAGTGCTCTAACATTTGTTGAAAAGGAGTATTATCTGTAGTTGTGTATGTGGGGAAGTTTTTCCTCTGATGACAAATACCTTGTCGGGAGCTGAGTACTTATCTGAGGTATGAATGCAAATCTATTATCTGAACTGATAATTCAGATATTGTTGAGAGTTTATTTCTCTCTATGGTGATCAGGTGGCTGTATCAACCTGAATGGGTCGCAGAAGATGTAATCTTTTGTGATCTTCTCCTAAAAAGACTATTAAGCTTAATAATCTCTTTGATTGATAAATTAAGAACTGAATTATTGAAGAAAGGTCAATGGCCTAAATGATGTTGTAACATCACTTTTTTTGTTATCCGTAAAGAAAGTTATGGAATTATGATTATGGAAGATTAAGGATCAACATGGTTGTCAAAAGAAGGAGTTTCGACTTTGTGAATTAGAAGATGCAGATCCTGATCCTGTCTTTAGTAGTATGTTTGGTGACTGCATAACTACTATTTTGAAGACTTGACTAGTACCAGCAATTGCTAGTGGTTGTTAGAGCAAAGGAATATGAAGAAGGTGGTTTTCCTCTGTTGCAAGTATGTCAGCCTGGTGTGCTTAAAACAAGCTATTTGAGGGCTTGTGTTTGTATGATGTCCAAGCATGTGTTCACGACATCTTGGATATCCAAAGAGGTATGGATATTCGTGTGGTTATGTAGGGTTGTGTATCAGACATGACCTTGTAAAAGTCTTAAGACCTGGAGTTGGTATATCAGATTCAGGATGAGTTATTTTCACAAGAGTGTGGATATGTTTCAGTGAGTGCGTGAAGTCTCTTGTTTGTCTTCTAGTGTCCAAGTGTTCATCCTCATCAGAAGCCTTATTTGTCCATGATAGGGGGCTTAGAACCTATCTATGGTTATTGTTTTAGTAGTTATGGAGCTTGCGTGTAATTCAAGCTTATGAAGATTACAGGAAACATGTTGTGACTTGTGGCTACTAGGTGTAGTTGTTTATGCCCCTGTTGGGTCTATGTGGTTCTAGTCAGAAGAAGCTAGTATATTTTGTTTTCTCCAATGGTTGAGCTTAAGGTCAAGTCACTGACCTAACCTGGAATGTTTTGGCTGCCATGATTGGATGT